AATGTCTGGACACTAATGAATATAGTTGAGTGAAGAAATGAAAATTGATTAGGCAGCATAGAAGGAGTATTGTTGCTGTAGAGAAAGACGTGAGAGGGAATGAGTGCCAGACAGTAGGTAGGGATGCTGGCTTCTGCAAAGGAGCTTGGGAATTTTTATAGTTCTCAGAGAATAAATTTTAAACTTTGTTGTTAAATCATATATGTTTTCTTTCTGACACTACTGTAAATAATTTTTTTCTTTTCCAGAAAGTGCTTCACCGCTAATGTAGAGATAGAGTGATTTTTTTTTTTAATTGATCTTGTGGCTTTTTGCTGTATGTGTTTATTCCTAGTTTTTTTTTTTTTTAAGGGAATTCATCAGAATTTTCTACACAATATTGTCTGCAAATGGAGATAGTGTCACTCCTTTTGGATGCCTTTATTATTTTTTTTTTTTCTTTGACTAATTTTCCTGATAGAACTTCCAGTACAATGTTTAACAGAAGTGGTGACAGTGGATATATTTCTGTTCCTGATATTAAAGTGAAAATACAGAGTATTTTTCAAACATGATGTTACCTGTGGGTTTTTCATAATTGGCCTTTATTGGCTAGAGAAAGTTCTATTCCTAATTTTGTTGCATGTTTTTTTCATGAAGGAGTGCTGCATTTTATCAGATGCTCTTTCTGCATCTGTTGATGTGTTCTTGTTTTTGCCCTTTATTAAGGTGATAAATGACATTGATTTTTGGTATGTTTAATCAGTTTTGCATTCATGGGATAAATCCCACTTGGTTATGGTATGTAATACTTATTATATATTGCCAAATTTGGTTTGTTAGTATTTTGTTGAAGATTTATGCCTCTGTATTCATCAGGGGTTTTAGTCTGTAGTTTACTTTTATGCGATACCTTTGTCTGGTTTTGGTAATACTTACATTACAGAGTGAGTTAGGAAGCATTCTCTGCTATATTACTTGCTGGAATAATGTGAGGAATTAGTATTGAAGAGGTTTTTTGTTTTTGTTTTTTTGTTTTTGGTATAACCAGTGAAGCTGCCTGGGCTTTTTCCCCGTACAAAATAAAAATTGCTAATTGTGTTTTCTTACTTGTTACAGGTCCATTCATATTGTCTATTGTTGAATCAGTTTTTGTAGTCGATGCCTTTCTAGGAAACAGAAATTTCATCTAATTTGCCAAAATCCACTTGTTCATAGTTCTATATTCCTTATTTCTGTGAGGTTGGTAGAAACACCATCACTTTGATTCCTGATTTCACTAATTAGAATCCCCTCCCCCTCCCTTGGTTTGTCCAATTAAAGGTTTGTCAATCATGTTAATTCTTTCAAAGAACTGATTTTGGATATTGATTATTTTTTCTACTTTTATATTCTCTACTACATTTATTCTAATCTCTATTTACTACTTACACTTGATTTAGTTTGAGGGTTTTTTTGTTGTTGTTGTTATTGTTTCTTTTCAAAAAACTTAAGGTAGGAGGGTACCCTTTAAAGGTACCCTTTAAGGTAGAAGGTTTTTGCCTTGAGAACGTCTCTTTATACATAGACATTCACAGCTATAAATTTCCCTCTTAGAACTGTTTCATACTGTATCTTTTCATCTCATTATCTTCTATTTTCCCAGTTTCTTCTTGGATTCATTATTAGCATGTTCACTTTCCACAGTTTTGAAATTCTGACATGTAGAAGTTTTTTGACAGATTTTTTTGAGGTATAATTGATATACAACATAAATTGCAGGTGTACAACATAATGTTTCAACATTTGTTCACATTCTGAAATGATCACCAAAATAAGTTAACATCTGTCACCAGACATAGAGAATCCTTTCCTTAGGATTTTTAAGATCTCTGAGCAACTTGATACTATGGCGTATTAATCATAGTCCATGCTGTACATTATATCCCCAGGATTAATTTGTCACCGAAAGTTTTACGTTTTGACTACTTTCACCCGTTTTGCCCACCTCTGTCCTCTCACTTCTGCCCACTACCAATCTGTTGTATCTTTGAGCGCCCCCTCCCCCCCCTTTTTTGGATTACATATGTAGGTGAGATCATAAGGTATTGGTCTTCTCTGACTTGGTTCACTTAACACATTGCCCTCGAAGTCCATCCATGTTGTTGTTGAAAATACGTCCTTTGTTGAAACAAGTTCTTTATAGCTGAAAAATATTTCCTTGTGGATATATGCAGCACATTTCCTTTATCCATTCATTGCTTGGTAGACCTTTACATAATTTATCATTTCTATATGATGATAGTCTCCCTCCCATTTTCTCAGACTTAACTGTTACTGTATCCTGTGACTTTGCTGATCTGTTTCATTGAAGTCGTTTTCTCCCCCTACCCAGTGAAGTCTCCACAGCCCCTCACAGAGGGTGTAATCTTGGTCATGAATGTAGCCAGGCTGGAATGAAAGTAGTTTAGTAGGGTTCCTTTTGTCTTTCTTAGTCTCTTACGGTTTCTGATATCACACTTAACTGATAAACTGTATTCATTGCCTGCAAATTGCTTTCTTTTTTCTCTTTACTTCCTTCCTTCCTTCCTTAACAATGCCTGAGGTATAAAATGCTCTATACTCTGATTCAATTAAACTTTGGTTCCTTTGCAAGGATAGTTTTTGAGGCCAGTATTGGAAGTTTGCTCTGATTCCATGGGGTTGTTGTTACTTGTCTCTTTCTGCAGTTCTCTCTGGTAAACTAGCTTGCCAGCGGTTGAGGTTTTTGCTGTTTCATAGCTACCATCTTCCTCTTAATTGCCTAGCACAATAGTCTCTGCTTCTTCTGCCAGGGTACTTCGATTTAAACTTGGTCATCGTCGGTTACATACAAGGTGAGTTTTCTTTGGGAGAACTTGATAGCTCTGTTCTTGCAGCCTGTCTCTCTCCCTATAAAAAATCACCACACTGCTGCTTGGTGGGGCATGATGTCTTGTTTTTCTAGGTGACACTCCTACTTCATGAGCAGGGTGGTCCGTGGAGACATTTGAGGACTCTAACCTTTTGTTATGCTTCTGGTGAAAACCTCTGCCCTATGTGAGATTGGTTGTTAAGGGTGTTCAGGGCCCAGGATTCATTCTGTGCTTACTATGACTGGGATAGATACTCCACTTGGGAGTGGAGCCTATGTAGTGGGAAGGGAGTCTCCAGTCTCTTGTCCACAGTTGGCTTTAATTTAGCCTCTGTGACCTGGAGCTGAGTGGTAGTGGGAGAGGAAGGCCCCATCTTTTCAAGCCGTATCTACTCCTAGTGGAATTTCTGTCACACTGAGCTGGATGGATGATTAAGGAAGAAATAGATTGTGGCTTGAGTACCACAAGCACTATTTTTACCAAGATTTAGTTGATATTCTTTTTTTTTTTTTTTTAAAGATTTTTATTTATTCACTTGACAGATAGAGATCATAAGTAGGCAGAGAAGCAGGCAGAGAGAGAGGAGGAAGCAGGCTCCCTGATGAGCAGAGAGCCCGACGCGGGGCTTGATCCCAGGACCCCGGGATCACGAACTGAGCCAAAGGCCTTAACCCACTGAGCCACCCAGGTGCCCCGAGATTTAGTTGATATTCTTGAAAAATGTTTTATCTGCTGCATGCCCTTCAAGGATTTTAAATGGTTATTTTAAAATATTTAAGTATAAAATATTAAGTATGAATAAGTATTTAAAATATTTTTCACTAGTTCCTTTGCTGGAGAGAGTCTGCTCAAGTCCTCATGCTGACATTTTGTGACTCATTCTCTCTTTCAAATAGATTTGCTTCATGGCTTGGTATAGAATTCCAGTGTTATGTATATATAGTTGCAATATAAATAGAACTTTTCCCTTAAAAGCTATGTGTGTGTGTGTGTGTGTGTGTGTGTGTATGTGTGTGTATGCATGCAAGTCTGTTTCTTTTAACTTCTATTGATATGTGTCAGACTTGACCAATTAGGTTTTCTCCTTATTTATCTTTCGCCTACTTGGACATCTCTCTCTCCCTGTCAGCCCTGGCGATCTCCTCATTTTTGCTTTTATTTCTAGGCTCCAAACTCCTACTTGAGTCACTGGAAATGGTGACAGTTTATAAACTGTCTACTTGGCTCACATATTAGCTTTGATTTTCAGCCAGTTGCTGGGATTTTATAAGCTAGTTTATGGGCTATCTATCTTGCACAGGTACTGGTCTTCTCCAGACCAAATTGATTGTGGCTCATTGATTTGTTGTGCTGTAATACCTATGTGTTTGTTACATGGAAGATAAGAACTTTTGGAGGAGGTTCCTTAATGGCCTACCTCAGGAACTGTATTTTAAAGCTGCTTCTCCAAAGCGGTTGTCTGGTAATGACCTTCCAGACTACAATGAAACACTGCTAAAGATGATAGGGATAAATCATCAGGTATCAAGGTGCCTTTCTGTTTTGTTTAGATGCATCTATAAAGGAGACAGCTTTTATCAGAGCAATTGAAATCAGTGGTTACTTTATCTGAGGGAATGTTGCTCTGAGAACGTTTGAAAGGAATGTTTTTTTATAGGAATTAGACATAAATTTGTTGTTAATTAGGCTCAGTCTCATTTTGGGGATCTTAGGGAAGAGTGATCTTTTTCCTTAATTATCTGTGTTGAAAGTAAAACTTTTGAAGTCACACTAATACATACTAATGTGTAATCCATGTCCATTTTTTGCACAGTAACTCTTCCTTCACCCTTCTGCCTTCATGGAATACCCACTTGGATCTCACCATTCTGATCTAGTATTAGATTTCAGTGTCCACTGACCAAAAGGATTTGTGAACCTATAATGGAAAAAAAATCTCTATCTCTTATATAGAACTGTAATATTAAGAAAGAGGGTTTTGATTGTGAAATACTGATTTATGAACCAAATCAACTCTTGTTCAAATATTTTCTTGAGGTTATTTGTTCAAGCCAGGAATAAAATCTCAAAATGAGAGAGTTCAGTGTTTGACTTTGAAATTTGCTCCAGGTGAAATAAATGTTAACTGGATCTCTGTTTGTTCTTCAGGCAGCAGGAGCAGTTCGACCTCTTGTATCTACAGTAATCAGTCCCTCTGCAGATGGTTGCTTAGACCATTCACTAGAACGTGCCAGACACAGAGCAAGTGAAATGCCACAGGCTTTTCTGTTTGGTGTGATCTATGAAGCATATCAGCAGGTAAGAATCCTGGTTTCTGAAAATGGCTGTGTGTGGGGTCTGCAAGAATATTCCCCTTTCTGGGAATTTGCTGGAAGATACCACGTATAGTTGGACTCAAGTTAAAAACGCTAACAGTGAAGTAGAGAGGATTCACAGCTGAGTCATAGGAGAAGCACATGCAGAGTCTGGGAGAATCCATGTGTCCTCTTGCTTAGGTTCTTGGCTTCCCTTGAAGGGTCACACAAAGCATCTTTTCTCCCACCAGCTATGAAAATTCAGCAGCATGTGGGTGATGGTTCTCTCCAGGGAAGCCCATTAGAGACTAGTGTTCGGGGTATGACGTGGGGTTGGTCATAGGCAACCCCTGTCTTAGCATCTACAACAATTTCAGATTCCTGGAAGGAAAGCAGGTGTCTAACAGTATTAGTGTTATTTATGCAAATAGTACGAGCATAGCGAACCACACTTACTGTTCACTGAGAAAACTGTATGAGCCAATTTCCCATATCTAGGTGGAAGGGTAGTCTTTCTAACCATTTAAGGCCTGTATGGTAAGTTACCTGCACAGCTATAGATACCTTTAACATTTGAGTTCACAAACCAGCTTCTTTTAAAATCTCACATAATCACTTCGTGTTTAGATTATCTAGATAATTTTTTTTCCCTCATGTTCTAAAAATGCTTTGGGACCTTTTACTGACATTTATTGCATATTTATGGTTTAAATAGTTACTGGTTATTAGGCATTATGCTTGTCAGAAACTTGCCAATGAAATAAGTTAGAACTAACTGACTGATTAAGCTGATGTTAATCAGTGAAGAGTTTGGAACAGACGGATTTGTACGAACGTGAAGGTAGTGGTAATAAGAATATTGACATTTATAATAAAATAATGCCTCTTACTTTGGATAGAAGGTGGTCACATCCATAATAAATTGACTCAATCTTAATTGGTTAGTTTTCAAATGAGATGATATAAATAGAAACCATTTTAATGGTATGAGTAGTCTGCACGGTTTATACTGTTTTCTTAAAATAATGAATTTGGTGTATTGGAATTTACCTGTATATGGTCATAATTATATCAATGTTAAGCTATCATAAATATTTTTAAATTTTATTTTATTTAAATTCAATTAACCTATAGTGTATTACTAGTTTTAGAGGTAGAGTGCAGTGATTCGTCAGTTGGATATCACAACCAGTGCTGATTATATCACATGCCCTCCTTTAAGGCTCCAATTATTTATTTAAATACTGTATTTTATAGCCTAAATGTTGCAGAGTTAGACGATATCTACTTTATTGCCTGAAATTATTCATCCTTAAACACCTGAAGTTACCACACCTCCCATTCTTCTTAATATATTTTAGAAGAGAAATTGAATATAATCTCATGTTCTGCATATCAGAGAAACATTTTCCCACAGTTTTTGCTGGAGAATTAAGTGCTAATGCACTGAGGTACTGGTTCTCAAAGTGTGGTTCCCAGAGAGCATCGGTGTGCTTTGGAACTTGTTAGAAGGCTCCACCTCAGACTGGCTTAATTAGAAGCTATGGGTATGGGCCCCAGTAATTGTGTCTCAGCAGACATCTCTGCCATGGGATCCTAATGCATACTGCAGTTCGGGAACCACCACCCTAAGACATTCACTGTACGTAACTAATTAAACATTCTTCTACTGCATTCTAGGGAGAATTAAAAAAATAGTAATATGATAATTATCTGTGTTCTATGGCTCAGATGAGGACTTCTTAATTATAGGATTGTTTTTGAAGGTTTTGCTATAAGATCTTTATTTAACTTTTTTCCCCAAGATTTTATTAAAATTCCAGCTAGTTAACACCATGCATTGTTAGTTTTAGGTGTAGAACTTGGTGATTCACCATTTATATAGAACACCTGATGTTCATCACAGCAATTGCCTTTCTTTAATACCCCTCATCTATTTAACACCCCACTCAACCCCACCCCCAGTAATCCTCAGTTTGTTCTATATAGTTATAAGTCTGTTTCTTGGTTTGCCTCTTTTTGTTCCCCCATGTTCATTTGTTTCTTAAGTTCCACCTATGAGTAAAATCATGCTATTTGTCCTCCTCTGACTTGACTTCACATAATACTCTAGCTCCACCCATGTCATTGCAAATGGCAAGATTTCATTTTTTATGGGTAATATTCCATTGTATACATATACTACATATTCTTTATCCATCAGTTGTTGGACTTTTTGGGCTCTTTGCATAATTTGGCTATTGTAGATAATGCTGCTATAAGCAGTGGGCTGCATGTATTCCTCTGAATGAATATTTTTGTATATCTTTGGGTGATTACTTAGTAGTGCAAATGCTGGATCATAGGTTATTTCTGTTAACATTTGAGGAACATTGTCCAGAGTGGCTGCACCAGTTGCATTCCCGCCAACAGTGTAAGAGGGCTCCCCTTTCTCCGCATCCTCTCCAACAACTGTTGTTTCCTATGTTGTTAATTTTAGCCGTTCTGACAGGTGTGAGGTGATGTCTCATGGTAGTTTTGATTAGTATTTCTCTGATGTTGAGCATCTTTTCATGTGTCTATTAGACATCAATAGACATCTTTGCAGCAGTGTTTACTGATGTCTTTTGCCCATTTTTGAACTGGATTATTTGTGTTTTTTTGTTTTGTTTTGTTTTGTTTTGTTTGCATGTTGAGTTTGGTGAGTTCTTAATAGATCTTGGATACTAACCCTTCCTCCGGTATGTCATTGGCAAATATATTCTCCCATTCTGTAGGGTGACTTTTAGTTTGGTTGACTGTTTCCTTTGTGGTGCAGAAGATTTTTTTTTGATGAAGTCCCAATGGTTTACTTTTGCTTTTGTTTCCCTTGCCTCAGAAGACCTATCTAGTAAGAAATTGCTATGGTCCAGGTTAGAGAGGTTACTGCCTGTGTTCTCCTCCAGGATTTTGATGCCTTCCTTTCTCATGTTTACGTCTTTCATCCATTTTGAATTTATTTTCATGTATGGTATAAGAAAGGGGTGCAGTTTCATCCTTTTGCATGCTGCTGTTTAGTTTTCCCAGCAAAACACTATTTGTTTAAGAGACTATCTTTTTTTCCATCGGATATTCTTTCTTGCTTTGTTAAAGATTAATGTTCATATAGCTGTGGGTTTCCTTCTGAGTTCTCCATTCTGTTCCATTGATCTATGGGTCTGTTCTTGTGGCAGTAACATACTGTCCAATGACTACATCTTTGTAATAGAACATGAAGTCCAGAATTGTGATGCCTTCAGCTTTGCTTTTCTCTTTCAAGATTGCTTTGACTATTTGGGATCTTTTGTGGTTTGATACAAATTTTAAGACTATCTTCTAGCTCTGAAAAATGCCTGTGATACTAGGATAAGGATTGCATTAAATGTGTAGATTGCTTTGGGTAGTGTGGACATTTTAACAATATTTTTCAATCCATGGGAATGGAATATCTTTCCATTTCTTGACTTTCTTTCATCAGTGTTTTATTGTTTAAGAGTACAGATCTTTTATCTCTTGGTTAGCTTTATTCTTACATATCTTATAGTTTTTGGTGTAATTATAAATGGAACCAGTTCTTTCATTTCTCTTCCTGCTACTTCATTATTGGTGTATAGGAATGCAGTAGATTTCTGTACATTGATTTGTATCTTGTGACTATAATGAATTTGTGTATAAGGTCTAGCAGTTTTTTGTGGAGTCTTTCCCATTTTCCATATAGAGTATCGTGTTATCTGCAAATAGTGGAAGTTTGACTTCTTCCTTGTCGATTGGATGCCTTTTATTTCTTTTTGTCTGATTTCTAAGGCTAGGACTTCGAGTATTATGTTAACTGTGGTAAGAGTAGATATTCCTGTCTTGGTCCTGACCATAGAGGAAAATCTCTGGTTTTCCCCAGTGGCGATGATAGTACCTGTGGATTTTTAATATGTCGTCTTTATGATATTGAGGTATGTTCTCTCTAGCCCTCCTTTGTTGAGGGTTTTTATTATGAATGGATGTTGTACATTGTCAAATGCTTTTTCTTCATCTACTGAGAGGATCATCTGATTCTTATCCTTTTATTAATGTGGTGGATCACGTTGATTGATTTTGGAATACTGAACCAGACTTGCAACCAAGGAATAAGTCCCACTTGCTTGTGGTGCATGATTCTTTTAATGTACTGTTGGATTTGATTTGTTAGTATTTTGAGAACTTTTCATCAATATTCATTTAGGGATATTGGCCTGTAGTTCTATTTTAGTGGAGTCTTTGGTTTTGGAATGAGGGTAGTGCTGGCCACATAGAATGAGTTTGGAAGTCTTCCTTCCATTTCTGTTTTTTGCGTAACAGTTTGAGGAGTCTTTAAGTGTTTGGTAGAATTCCCCTGGGAAGCCATCTGGCCATGGACTTTTGTTTGTTGGGAGATTTTTGATTACTGATTCAATTTCTTTGCTGGTTATAGGCCTGTTCAGATTTACTATTTCTTGCTGTTTCAGTTTTGGTAGTTTTTGTTTCTAGGAATTTACCCATTTCTTCCAGATTGTCCAATTTGTTGGCATATAATTTTTCATACTATCCTCTTATAATTGTTTGTATTACTGGGGTGTTGGTTGTTATTTCTCCTCTCTCATTTGTGATTTTACTTGGGTCCTTTCTCTTTTCTTTTTGATAAGTCTGGCTAGGGTTTTTATCAATTTTAATAGTTTTTTCAAAGAACCAGCCCCTGGATTCATTGATCGGTTCTTTTGTTTCTATATCACTAATTTCTGCTCTAATCTTTATTATTTTCCTCCTTCTGCCAGCTTTAGGCTTCATTAGTTCTTTTTCTAGCTCCTTTGGATGTATGGTTGGGTGGTTTGAAATTTTTCTTGTTTGTTGAAGTAGGCCTGTATTGCTATATACTTTACTCCTAGGGTTGCTTTTGTTGTGTCTCAAAGGTATTGGACTGTTGTCTTTTAATTCTCATTTGTTACCATGGTTTGTTTGTTTTTTTTTTTTTTTTTCATTCTGTTTCCTGGTTAACCT